CAAAACTCCAGTAAAGTAAAAACTGTGATACTGGCATCAGAAAAGGCATATATAGAATAGAATTGAGAGACCATAATAAACTGAAATATTTATGGCCAAATTATTTTCAAAAAGACCATTTGTTGAATCTGTTCACTCTACCACACTGCTAAGCCAAGGTCTACAGTTGCCAACAAAACACGACTTACACACTGACATTGGCTTGAGAAACAGTATACTCACTTAGAGGTAAGATAGAGCCAGGTCAGTTTGATTTACTGGATCTGGTCCCCCGTGACAAGTGGGTCATTCCGTGCAGCCAGTGCTAGACTAGTGGTCTGTGTGTACCCCACTGTGCTGCAGTTGGGAGACTCAGTTCCCTCCTTGCCCGGAATAGATACAGAAATGGGCTCGTTCACGTGCCATATGACAACTGTACTTGATCAGAACAGAGAAAGTTACTGTGTACCTACCTGGGATACATAAGGAGAAGGAACTGAAACAGAGAAACTCACAAGGCTTTATTAAGCAATCCAGGTGAAGGTAGAAGACTACACAATAGACTGCTTTCCCTTTTACCCACACCATTTAAGAAAAAAAAAAATCTCTTCAACAAATCATGCTGGGACACAATTTGTTGAAGGTTAACCATATCCAAAAGAATGAAGTTGAGCCCCTACCCCACTCCATATATAAAAATTTATTCAAAGTAGATTAATGACGTAAGCTACAATTATAAAAGAAGAAAGACTTTTTCCAAAATAATTAGAAGAAAACATAGGAGTAAATCTTTGTGATTTGGATTTTGACATAGAATTCTTAGATTTAATAACAACAACAACAAAAGACAGATCAATTCAACTTAGTCAATATTAAAAACTTGTGTATCAAGGAACATTTTCAAGAAAGTACAAAGACAACCTATGAACTGTTGTTGTTAGGTGCCATTGAGTTGGTTCCCACTCATAGCAACCTTATTGCACAACAGAAGGAAACACTGCCTGGTCTGCACCAACCTCATCATCATAGTTATACTTGACCCCATTGCTGCTGCCACTGTGCCAATCCGTCTCATTAAGGGTCTTCCTCTTTTTCATTGACTCTCCACTTTACTAAGAATGATGTCCTTCTCAGGGACTGGTCCCTCCTGATAGCATGTCCATAGTATGAGATATGAAGTCTGGCCCTCCTGGCTTCTAAGGGACATTCTTCTGCTGTACTTCTTCCAACACAGATTTCTTTATTCTTCTGACAGTCTATGGTACCTTTAAATATTCTTCTCCAGTGCTGTAACTCAAATACGTTAATTCTTCTACAGTCTTCCTTATTAATTGTCCAACTTTTCACTGCATGTGAAAGTTGAAACAAAAAATAGAATAAAATATTTGCATATAATATCTGATAAGGGTTTAATATCAAAAATATACATGTATACAATTCAACAAGATAGAACAATCCAATTAAAGACTGGGCAAAAGGTCTTGAGTGACATTTCTCCAAAGAAGATAGCCAAACTGAAAAGATATTTAGCATCATTGCTTATTAAGGAAAAGCATACCAAGACTACAATGTGATACCACTTCACATCCTCTATGACAGCTGTCATTAAAAACAACATCCTGAAAATAAGTATGAAGTACTGCTGAGGATTTGTAGAAATTTGAACCCTTGTTTTTTGTTTTAATGTTTTTATTGTGAATTATGTGTTAGTTTACATGGGAGAACACTAGCTTTCCATTTATCCTATATCATTTCACTGCCATGGTTACAATCCCTTCCATGCATCATCAGCTAACCAAAGGGTATACCCCACAAGCCTGCCCCATGGTCGTCAGCACACAGCCCTTCTCCCTCTCTGGGTCTAGAGTCCCCGGGCACTCCATCTCTCCACATCATCGTCTCTGCCTCCATCTCAGGCATCACTGCTTCTCAGGGTAGGGGTCTCACACTCCACTCTTCTCCCTTGATCGTTCCAGGACTGCAAAGTTAATCACTCCCATCCTTTTGCTACAAAACGCCCACCTTTACATTTCCAACCCTCACAGTCAGTTCTGATAACAATTATTCACCCTTGTACCACAAGGGACCTGTCCCCATCTCCTTTTATCAGCCCTGCCCAGACAGATTGGATACTACTCAGTGGAGATTCTGCCTTCCTCCACGCCCTCTGGATCTAGGCTCCCTCTTGAAAGCATGTAAGCCAGTCACTTCTTGCCTTTGTAACCCCCTCATTTTGCATAGCCCATGTCCAAGTTGCCCATTCCTGTCTACTCTGTGTATGGAGGGGGTGGGAATGATCTTCATTGTAAAGATTTGTTCCCTCTTTTGAGCTACTGCATCCATAGGTGTAGGTCAAGTTCATCAAATTGTATCAGATTACTCTTTTTTTCCTCTTCTTTCTTCTAGTTGAGCTCTGATCATCCAGCCATTGAAACCAGGTCAAATGGGTATTTTCTGCAAGTGTGAGTGTTCTTGTGCATATGCCCTCTCTTCTTATCAGCTAGACGCTTCACTCTCCACTCTAGTCCTCTGTGGCTATGTCACTGACTCTGGGCCCAAGAGTCCCCAGGTTTTGCCAAACTGCTGGCCAACCAGGTCTCCAGCTGGGTTCACAGGAGGCTATTGAACATTGTAGGGCTTAGCTCACCGCTTCATTGCTGTTTTTCCCTCGCTTCCCCTTATCGGTGACGAACATGGTCACCAATCAGTGCATGTCTGCTCATGTATTCCCATTGAGTCTTAGTCTTGGAATGGGGTTTGCCTTCAAGGGACCCAACCATTTGCCTCGATGTCTCCTGCGTGAGCAACTTGCTTGTTCTTAGAGTAATCAGTCGGACTGCATTTTTGTTTTGTATTTTTCCTGTCAGTCTTTCTTTCAAGGAGTATCTTCTGTTCGTCTAGTCACTCCAGGCCGGTCTGTTTATCCTTTCAAGTGGAAATTTCCCACCACAGAAGATTCTGGATGGGGTTTAGGAATCTACCTATGGTCTTATGTAATGCAGAGGCTCCACAGGAAGCCTCCTTCACTGGGCACATTGTAGTACCATTTTAGGTATTCCAATCAGTTATAGGCAGAAGACGGACTTACAAGCTTTCTATGGTGATATTTGTGGCTAGTCCTTTCTCTCCCCCTCAAGAGTCTATTTTATAATGGTATGCAAGGGAAACCACATTTCAAAAGACAGCCAAGCAATTTAACATTATTTCCCCCCTTTTGCCTGTTCCAGCCATGTCTCAAACCCTATATCTCAGAACCCTGTTGTTCCAAAGATGTGCATACATCATTATTTACGTCTGTCAAGCTTAGTCCATGCAAACCTGCCTAACTGTTCTCCCATCCTTCTTGTTCTTCGATTCCCCTCCCCCAAACCCTTGTTCTTTGTTAGTTGGCATATAAATGGTACCGTCACTGTGGAAAGCAGCTTGGGTTTTGTAGAAAATTGTTAAATGGGAACCTAGTTTGCTGTCTAAACTTTCATGGAAAACATAATAAAATATTTTAAGGAAAACAAACAAAGTTTGGGCTTCCTTAAAAAGCTAACCATATGACCCAGCAATTCCGCTCCTAGGTATATACCCAAAAGAAATGAAAGCATATATTCACACAGAAACATGTATACAATGTTTATAGAAGCGTTATATATAATGCCCAAAATGTGGAAACAGCCTAAATGTTTTTCAACAGATGAATAAATTATGGTATATGTATATATGTAGCGGATGTTATTCAGCAGTAAAAAGAAGTATTAAGACATGCTAGTATTTGCATGAAAGTTGGAAGCATCCTAAATTAAAGAATCCAAGCACAAAAGGGCACACATTATATGATTCATTTTATGTAACACATCAAGAATAAGTAAATTCCATAGAGAAGGAATGCACATTAGTATATGCCAGAGGAAAAAAGGGCAGGAGCAATGAAGAGTGGTTACTTGGAGGATGGGTACCAGCGCTACTTGGAAACCATATACAGGGTCACTGTGACTTGGAACTGACTCAGTGGCACTTAACAATAACAATGGGATGTGGAGTTCTGAGATGATGAAAATTTTTAAAGCTAGAGAGAGATGGTGGTTGCGTAACATTTGACTGAACTAAAGGCCACTGCATTGTATACTTTGAAATGTTTAAATGCTTATTAATTGTAATTCACTTCAATAAACTCTTCAGAGATCAAGTTTTCCATTGTACTGAGTCTGGCTTATCTTTATGTATATGTATACTTGACTGTCAGTCTCTGAAATCTTTTACAAAATGAGAGCAGAACTGAATGGATAAATGTATGAAAAAAAGAAATTTTCTTTAGAAAAGGAGAAATGTGTGACATCTGGAAAAACTATATAGAGGATCTGATAATTGAGTAAACTTTCTTGCATTACAGTTATTATTTGTTTTAAAAGTTAAAAGCATATTATTTTCAAACTAATCAAATTCCTCATTGGGGTTTCAACTAAGTTATGTTAACTAAAGGAACCGTGGTGTTGTGGTAAACTACCCACTTGGCTGCTAACTAAAGAGTCAGCAGTTCAAGTCCACTAAGTGTTCCATGAAGAAAAATGTGGTAGTCTGTTTCCATAATGATTTACAGCCTCACAAGTCCTGTGGGTCACCTCTATGCTGTCCATGGGGTCACAATGAGTCACAATCAACTCAACAGCATTGAAATATCAAACACATGATCTGATTTTAAAATAAGCTGAAATTTTGAGATTTGATTCAAATGTGAATTCAAACATTTATGAAAGTGATACTTTTTATGACTTCAGTTATCTATATCAACAACATCCTAAATTCTTCAGTATTTAAAGTTCGTAATACTGCTTTCCTTGCTTCAACCTTGGACTTTATTCTCTTTTGAAATGCTGGCTTTTGACTGTTGTCAGAATTATCCTGTTGGGTTTTTTAATAGCAAGATGTTTCCAATGATAAGATATCTGAAATGTGGTGTGACCTCTGCTGAACTCACATGTGGGATATTTATACTTTTTAAAATAAAAACTTTTGATTTTTTTTTAAACCAGGTTTGCAGTGCCTGGATAGCAAGTGGAGTTGTTAGTGACCTTAATGACCTTCGAAGAGTTCATCAGTTGCTTGTTTCATCATTGACAAAAATACAGGCTGGAAAAGAAGCTCTAAGTCACTTGTATAATGAAAGTGCTTCTACGATGGAGATCTTAGCAGTGCTAAAAGCCTGGGCAGAGGTTAGTACATATTCGTTTATAACTTCAGTTTTGGAAGTTTTTAGTATACACCTTAAGCCATTAACTATAGTAATTTTTATGACACCTATCAACATATTTTTAAGGTTAACAAAAGAATTCTTACATGAGATTAATTTACATAGCAATTGATATGTTGGCCAAGCATACAAAACCAAAAACCAAACCTGTTGCCAATGTTTCCAATTTAAAGCAGTAATGGTAACTAAGTTCACAAGGGTGCTCCATTGTCTGCATTTCTGTTGCTTTAAGTAGATGCAATCATGAGCCAGTGAAAACCAACACTTATTAAAAGTCTGTATTTTTGGAAATAGTGTTACATAATTTTTGCAATACATACTTTAACCTTTTTTTCTCATGTTCTTTAATAGAATGACTTTCAACTATTAAATAGTTTTCTTCCCCTTTAATAAATAAACCTTAAAGGTAAATGCTTCCAGGTATATATATGTATCACTAAATGTATCGAAACAAATATTTAAAAGAAGTAAACCAAGATGGTAATACTAGATAGCTCTAGATATGAGATTATGATTTTAAACTTTTCTATATGTTTGTAATCAAAAGGAAAACCCACCCACCCACTGTCATTGAGTTGATTTAGACTCATAGTGACCCTGGGGTTTCTCAGACTGAATTTTTACAGAATCAGAAAACCTCCTCTTTCTCTCATGGGGTAGCTGGTGGATTTAAACTGCTAACCTTTCAGTTAGCAGTCCAACATGTAATCCACTATGCCCCTGGGACTGCTGTATCAATTTGTAACTAACTATGGGAATGTTGAACTCCTGGTATGGCGCTGTCGGATCAGCACTGTGCTGTCGGATCAGCTCTGCACTGCAAACCACAAGTTCAACAGATCAAACCCACAAGCTGCTCCTCAGAACCCTATACAGGGTTGCTATGAGTTGGAACTGACACAAAAGCACTTAACAACAATCAAACAACATGAGAATGTTATTCATACACTAAAATAGATAGAATAGTATAATGAACATATATACTTTATCCAGCATAAGCAGCTTTCCAGCATAGCCAATCTTTACTCATATATCATTTTTAATATAATTATTATTAATAGACTTTGTCTTTTAAAGCAGTTTTAGGAGTCCTGATGCAGCACTGCAGGTTTATGCACTGGACTGCTTGTCAATTTGAACTACAAGTTCAGTGGTTCAAGCTCACCTGCCGCTCCTCAGAAACTATACAGGGTCACTATGAGTTGGAACTGACTCAACAGCACTTAATACCAACAACAGGTTTACCAAAAATTTTTATAGAAATTACAGTTATTATTGTTGTGTGCCATCAAGTCAATTCCAACTCATAGGACAGTATAGATTTGCCCCGTAGGGTTTCCTAGACTGTCATCTTTAGAGGAGCAGACCACCACCTCTTTTCTATTTAAGAGTCTCTAGGTGGATTCAAACCACCAAACTTTGGTTGACAGGACAAAAAGTCCTCATGGTGGGCAAACCCCCTTCCAAGACTAAAACTCAATGGGAATACACGAGAAGACACGTGTTCTAACTGGTGACCATGTTGGTCACCGATAAGGAGAAGCGAGGGAAAAACAGCTATGAAGCTGCTAGCTAAGTCCAATATTCAATACACTCCTGTGAACCTGACTGGAGACCTGGTTGGCCAGCAGTGTGGCAAGACCTGGGGACTCCTGGGCCCAGAGTCAGTGACATAGCCATAGAGAACTAGAGTGGAGAAAGAAGCGTCCAGCTAATAAGAGAGGGCATATGCACAAGAACACTCACACTTGCAGGTAATACCCACTTGACCTGGCTTCAGTGCCTGGATGGTCAGAGCTCAACTACAAGAAGAAAGAAGAGGAAAAACAGAGTAATCTTACACAATTTGATGAACTTGACCTATACCTATGGATGCAGTAGCTCAAAAGAGGGAACAAGTCTTTACAGCAAGGATCATTCCCACCCTCTCGATACACAGGGTGGACAGAGATGGACACACTAGACATTGGCTACTCAAAATGGGAGACTACAAAGGCAAGAAGTGACTGGCTTACAAGCTCTCAAGAGGAAGCCTAGATCCAGAAGGCACAGAGGAAGGTAGAATCTCCACTGAGTAGTATCCAGTGTGTCTGGGTGGGACTGATAAAAGGAGATAGGGATAGCACTCATATGGTTCAATAGTGAATAATTATTATCAGGACTGACTGTGAGGGTTAGAAATATAAAGGTAGATGTTTTGTAGCAAAAGGAGGGGAGTGGTTGATTTTGCAGGCCAGGCACAGAGGCCCCTGGGACCATCCAGGGAGAAGAGTGGAGTGCGGGGCTCTACCCAGAGAAAGTGATGCCAGAGATGAAGGCAGAGATGATGACATGGAGAGATGGAGCGCCTCGGAACTCTAGACCCATAGAGGGAGAGTGGATGTGTGCTGAGGACCAAGGGACAGGCTTGTGGGGTATACCCTTTGGTTGGTTGATGATGCATGGAGGGGAATGTAGCCATGACAGTGTAACGAACGATACACAATAGGATGAATGTAAAGCTAGTGTTCTCCCATGTAAACTATCACATAATTTACAATAAAAGAGTTTTAAAAAAAAAAACAAAAACATGGTGGGCCAGATTGGACATATGGTGGCTCAGAACACTGCCTGGCACACAGTAAATGCTTGATACATAGTAACTACAGCTTCAGTGATTGTTCACAGTGATTATGGGTTCTGTGCCTTTGGGCAAGATGTGACATTGTACTGAGACAAACTGAAGAGACTCTATTCCACAAAACAGAGACAATAATGGCTGCTCAAAAAAACAACAACAAAAAGTCCTCATGATGCAAAGGCTTAGCCATTGTACCATCAAGGCTTCTTAGAAAATAGACACAGTTCCCATACAGCACTCTGCACAACATGTATAGCTTTTTCTCACTATGAATGTCTTGCATTAGTGTGGAACATCGTTGAAATTGGTGAAACAATATCCATAGTTTACATTATGGTTCACTCTGTACGGTTCTTTGGATTTTGACAAATACATAATATCATATACCCACCATAACAGTTTCATGTAGAATTGTTTCACTGTCCCCAGAATGCCTGATATTCCATCTACTCATCCATACCCCTTTCTACTGAACCTCTGGCAACACTGATCTTTTTATTATATTTATCTAGAGTTTTGCCTTTTCCATAATTCTTATATTTAGAATCATACTATATGTCATTTTAATGATTGTATATTTATTGTTGTTGTTAAGTGCTGTTCAGTCAGTTCCTACTCATAGCGACCCCATACAGGGTTTCCGAGGAGCAGATGGTAAGCTTGAACTGCCAACCTTGCAGTTCAAACCGGCCTTGCAATCCAGCACATTAACCCACAGTGCCACACCAGGACTCCAGTGATTGTTTATAGTCACAGTATATTTATGTGTGTGTGTGTAAAGTACTATTCTAATTCTACAAATTAACCAAACTATAGCTCTAATTATATATACAAGGGTAAGTAAAAAAAAGTATTGCTTCTAGAGTTCCAGTTCATGCAGGCATGGTTTTCTTCCAAACAAAGCATGTTTAAACATGTCTCTGCAATCAGTGAATGGCTACAGACAAGTTTTCCCAGCAACACACTTATCGTAGTCATCTATAGGGTGCTATCAAAATAAGGCTCAATGGAAGCAGTGACTTCTGAGGGATTCTGCTGGGTCACTTACATCCAAGACTTAAGAGGTCAGCTCAGAAGATTATGGCAGCTGTTTTCTGGGACTTCTAAGGGGTAATCCTGGTGTGGCGGTATAGGATAAGCACTGAACTGTTAACCACAAAGTGGGCATTTCAAACCCACCTTGTGAAACTTTCCTTGGAAACTCTACATAAGGGTGCTGTGAGTCAGAATCAACTTGATGACACTTAACAACATCACTACAAGGCGTAATCCTGATAGATTTTCTCTAAGGATGCAGGACCATCATAGGGGCTTATTATTAGGAAGAAGTTTTTAGAAAATGGAAAACTGCATTGGTGGAAAAAAGGTTAGGAAAGTTATGTCAAGGAATTTTTTTCTATCCTGACAATACACCTAATCATTCCTCTAAGAAGCAAGGACTATCTTTAGAGAATTTCATTGGGAAACCTTACCCCACCACTCTATAACCTTGATCTTGCCCCTTCAGACTTCTTTTTGTTCCCAAATTCAACACTGAAAAGGAACGTGGTTTGATTCCCTCGATGATGCTAAAAATGGTTTTTAGATGTGGTGTCCATCGAGAAGCCCAGCATTCTTCCGAGAAAGGTTAGAGAAATGGAAACATTGCCTTCAGAAGTATACAGACCTAGATGAAGGTGAAAGTTACCTTGAACAACAATAGCTCCACATTTTTATACTTTCATTAAACACTTATATGAGTTTTCATATGGTGCTGTGGGATCAAGCACTGGACTTCAAGGTTGGTTTGTACCACAAGGTCAGCACGTCAAACTCACCTGCTCCTTGGAAACCCTATGCAAAGTGGCTATGAGTCAGAACTGACTTGACAGCACTTAACAAGTACAAAAAATAATTTTATAGCAATACTTTGTCACTGACCCTCATTTAGTACTTTACACACATGTTGTTGTTCTTGTTAAGTGCCGTCGAGTTGCTTCCGACCCATAGCGACCCTGTACAGGGTTTCCGAGGGTGTAAATCTTTACGGGAGTAGAAAGTCTCATCTTTGTCCCGCAGAGCAGCTGGTAGTTTCAAACCGCTGACTTTAAGGTTCGCAGCCCAATTCATAACCCCTACGCTACCAGAACTCATACTTCTAGTTTAATTGGGGTTCTCATATGGTACTATAGAATAAGTACTGAACTGCTAACCACAGAGTTGGTGGTTCACACCCACCAGCTGCTCCTCAGAAACCCTATACAGGGTCAGTCTGAGTCAGTACTGACTCAATAGCACTTAGCTACCACAACAACATTGATCTTTTGGGAGCACGGCTATAATAATATATAATATTATAAGCTCTGAACTGCAAACCACAATTGGATAATTTGAGCCCACCACCTTCTCCATGTGAGAAAGATGAGGCTTTATGATCCTGCAAAGATTTAAAGCCTCAGAGACCCTATTCGGGTCACTGTGAGTTGGAACCTATTCAACAACACTTAGTAACAATGACCTTTTAAACATACTTTTACTAGAGCAAACAAAAATTCTATAACCTGTGTAATTTATTTTTCAAGTAACTCTTTGCTCATATAGTAGTAATAGTAGTAGTTGTTGTTAACTGCCATCAAATTAGTTCCAACCCATAGGAACTCTATAGGGTTCCGAGGAGTGGCTAGTGGTTATAATAGTTTAAATCTGTGCTCTTTTTTAAGGAACCATGGTGGTATAGTGGATTAAGCATTGAGCTGCTAACTGCTGCAAGATTGGCAATTCAAACCCACCAGCTATTCCACAGGAATAAGATGAGGCTGTCTGCTCCCATAAAGATTTACAGCTTCAGAATCCCTATGGGTGTGCAGTTCTTCTCTGTCCTTTAGGGTTGCAATGAGTCAGTATACACAAGTCTATATCCCTTATCTGAGAGAGACTTGTAAATACCCTCACTTAGGTTCATTCAGCTTTACCACCAGATTAGTTTGCAAGAAACCTACATTTCTGAGCCTTTTGAATTTTAGACTTGTAGACAAAGAGATATAATGCATGTTACTTACAAAAAAATTCTCTTTTGGAAAATAATGTTTATCTGAAACATATCCCCAGAATATTTTCATTCTTTGTAATCTGTTCATTTAAAATGTTTATATAGTGTTAAGTACTTTAATATTCTTTGTTGTTATTGTTGTTGTTAAGTGCCATCGAGTCGGTTCCGACCCATAGCGACCCTGTACAGGGTTTCCGAGGCTGTTAATCTTAACGGGAGCAGAACGCCTCATCTTTCTCCTGCGGAGCAACTGGTAGTTTCGAACTGCTGGCCTTAAGGTTCTCAGCCTGATTCTTAACCACTGCGCTACCAGAGCTCCTGTTATTGTTATTAAGTGCTGTCAAGTCCATTCCCACTCATAGCAACCCAGTGTAGGGTTTCTGAGGAGCGACTGGTGGGTTTGAACCACCAACCTTGTGGTTAACTGTCTTGTGCTTATTCTACAGTGCCACACAAGGACTCCTTAATATTCTATGTTGTTATTGTTGTTAAGTGCCGTCGAGTTAATTACAACCCCTACTGACCCTGTATGGGGTTTCCAGGGAGCACCTGGTGAGCTTGAACCACCGACCTTGCAGTTCAAACGGCTTTGCAGTCTGGTGCACTAACCCACAGCGCCATTAAGGTTAAATATATTTATGCAAATTCTTTGTCGTGATTTAGTGGTAGTCTTAATGAAAATATTTTTAGTATTTAGCTTGTTTCGTTCAGATATGGCTACTAGAAGCCATGTGTTGAGAGGAATTATAAGGCCGTATCCATGGCTGGTGAAAAAGAGTGCTGTGATCAGTTAATTATGTCTGTCATAGTTGCAAAAGTACAAATTAGCAGCATATTTGCCAGGTATTTGTTATCCTTAATGTATCTCATTTAACAACGTACTGTTCGGTCGTTCTACAGTAGTTTTTATGGCTGCACATGTTTACCTGCTTGATAGTACAATGTATTTTCAAGTACAATATATTCAAAAGTAAGTCTGCCTTTTCAGCAAGATAAAATATTATTGCACTTTTCCAGTGGCTGCAGGAGCTTCCTATTTACAGATTAACCTTTAACAGGTCTACATAATTGCTGTAGAAAGACAGAAAAGATACAAACAGCCTTTGAAGACTACCACCTGTTCAGAGGAGAGTGACAAAAATGGGTCCATTTCATCAGATGGACTGCTTGACTTAGTCCACACAGATCTTGGCACACTCAGTAGACTGTGGCTTGCTGCACTTCAGGATTTTGCTCTCTTAACTTTGCCTTCGGAATTTGCATCCCAACTTCCTGTGGAAGGTAATGAGATAAATTATTTAGGTAAATTCTAGAGTGTCCATTATATTTTCAAAAATTCTCTTGGCAAGTGACATTTATTTATCCTGGAGTATTTTCCCCAGAAAATTTGCATTCACAGGGTAAGCATGGAAGAGTTGCTTCAAGGTAAACACTATATTCTGTAGATATTGTCAAAGGTTTGTAGATGTTTAAGTTTCTTCTATAAATGATCTCATGATAACTGCCCATTTTGAATTTGATGTTTGCTTTTTTATTATTGATTTGTTATTTCTTTATATATAATGTTTAATAGCCTTTTTTTGGTCCTGTGTCTTACAGATATCTTCTCTCAATCACTAACGTATCAATTATTTTAAAATACTTAAAGGACATAAAGACCTATTATCTTTAGTTTTTTTTTTTTGATCTATTGCCCAGTAGCTTTTAAGCACGGTATTATTCAATTTCCAAGTATTTGGGTTTTTTTCCCTTGATCTTCCTATTGCTGATTTCTAATTTTATAGTATTCTGATCTAAAAAGATGCTTTGTAGTATATTTATGTTTTTGGGAGATTTACTTTGTGGCCTAACACATGTTTTTTCCTGGAGACTGTTCCATGCACACTGGAAAAAAATGTGTATTGTGCTTTTGTTAACTTGAGTGCTCTGTATATGTCTATGAAGTAAAGTTAATTGATTTTATTGTTTAGTTCTTCTGTGTCTTTGTTTAGTTTCTTGTTGTTCTTTTCTTCATCAAAAGTGGTGTATTTAAAATCTCCTACTCCTATTGTGGAACCGACTCGAAGGCACTTAACAACAACAACAACAACTCCTATTGTGGAAGCCTGGTATGGAGCTATGGGTTAATTTGCTGGACTGCAAAGTTGATTTGAACCTTAAGTTCTGTGGTTCAAGCTCATCAGCCACTCCTCAGAAACCCTATCTATATAGGGTAGCAATCTGTTGGAACCAACTCACTGTCATTTAACAACAACAATTACTGTAGAGATGTCTATTTCTTCAGAGTTTGATTTACGTATATTGAGGCGCTTTCATTGGGGGAATAGATATTTATTATGGTTATATCCTCTTGTTCACGTGACTCCTTAATCATGATATAATGTCCTCCTTTGTCTCTTATGCTGGTTTTTGCTTTAAAATCTATTTTACCAGAGACTAGAATTGCTACTCCTGCTCATTTTTGATTGCCATTAGCTTGATATATTTTTTTCCATACTTTGATTTTTAGTTTATTTCTGTCTTTGGGTGTGTAAGATGTGTCTTAACGTAAGCAGAATATTGAAGGATCCTATTTTCTTATCCATTCTGCTCATCTCTTTCTCTTGACTAGTACATTTAATCCATTTATATTCAGTACAATTATCGATAAGTATGAATTGATTTCTGTCATTTTGCTGTGTATATTTTTGTGATGCTCCTTGTTTCTTCGTTCCATGTAATTTTCTGTACTGAATTCATTTAGTTTCTGGGTTTTCTTTATTTCTGTTGTGTCACTGCCTACTAAATCTTTCTGTTTTTATTTTATTTTATTTTTAATGTTTTATTGTGAATTATATGATAGCTTACATGGGAGAACTTTAGTTTTACATTCATTCCATCGTATATCATCTCATTGCCATGGTTCCAATCCCCTCCGTGCATCATCAACCACCCAAAGGGTATATCCCAGAAACCC